TTCATTTGAAACTGAAGTTCTCATGGTTAAACTCTTAGATTACATCATAGAGTTTTGCTATTATATCGATTTTCTCAAAAAAGCAACATGTATAAAATTTTCCCTAGCTATATACCTGAGTAAAAGCAAAAATATTGAGATTGCATACTTTTGGCGTACTTCAATTTTCATACGTTTGTCTGATGTTTTTTTAAACCTAAGTTCCATTACAAAAATATCGTTTAAATTCGTCAAAAAAAAACAGGTAACTCGACGAGCTCTATCCAACCATGACAAAAGAATTTGTTGTTTTATATCTAAGCCTATAAAATTTTCAAGATGATCTTAAAACGATTTTTGATGATTTATGGGAATCTTCTATTGCGAAACAGAGTTTATGATATGCGAAAGGTATGAGATTCACATAAAAAAAAACACCGCCGATAAACTGTTCTGTATATTGTCTACTATACTGACGATATTCTCTAGTATACTAATAATCAATCGGCGCTGGTGCGAATAAATACGTAATAAATACCTGAAGTGTTGATACTGAAGCATAGTTTTGATGGTCATTGTGTTCCTATAATACAAGGAAATTGGTAGATATGCATTAAGGTTTTTTCATAATGGAGCGAACAGCTGATTCTTTTCTTTTTGGTTTTATGTAAAAGTACATCTGTTGGTATATTTTCTATTTCTGCAATAAAGAAATTGAAAATAATTTTCGATAAAATATAATTGTTTCATTTTGGTCAAATCCTTCTAACAACTCAAATTCTAAATGAAAATAATCAATTAAAATAAAAATATCAAATAAATAACCAACAAGAGTTTACTATCGATGCATATAGATTTTTGCAAGAGGGTCAAAAACCTGGCAACTGAAAATAAAAATATAACGTTCAGTTTACAGGTGATGAGCCTATTTCTTGAAAATCTTCTTTATCTAATATTTTCTCTCTCGTTATTATTATAATAATATTTCATATTATCGTCGAGTTTCGATTAATATCGTGCAGGTACACAAATACTTGCTTCTTATTCTTTTTTTCCTTTGTCGGATAATAATCATAAGCAAACAAATGTGAACCTGTTCGATAACTAACCGTTTATCTTGAATAATTATTACTATGTATTCTAAAATGAAATTTGATTATATTCTTCGTTAGTATCACGTATTTATATAGTTGAAATGTTTGGTATATCTTCGATTTTTCCACCAATCAAAAGAAAAAAGTGTTCAATCAAGGCAAGTTGATCATTTAAGAAAAAGAAAAAAAAAAGAGAAAAAGTTGAACGAAGATATTAATAGTGTTTGACAATTTGTTTATTATTTCAAGATGATACTTATCTATTAATGAACCATATCTATCTAGTTGATTGTTGTGCGTGACTGGTAAAATGAATGGTAAGCAAAAGAAATATATTAAGTGACTATTGTTCTATTGATGATCACATAGTTCATTTGCATACACACAAGAAAAAGGTACCAACTGGTGAAATATACAAGGACGTTTTCTTTTTCCTTTTTTTTTTTTTTTTTTCAAATAAAATGATAATATTAAGCGTTTATTGTAAGAATATCTATTGTATTTTGTTGCCAATAATTCAATATTATAAATTGATTATTTTAAAATTTATGTTTACATTTTGATATACAATCATGTGTATTCTTTTATGCATCATTTCCATTTGTGCATTTCACACTTTAATGATGAACCTGTCGAGTTAGTCATTGATTGATGGATAGAGACTAAACTGTTAAATTGTATATGAGAAAAACAAAAAGAGATAATACATAGGTTAGTTTAGATTCGAGTTTGAGAATAGAAATATTATTTTGTAATATTATAACAATTAATCGCGGTATAAAGTTTTTCTTTATTGAATTTAGGAGCGTTTCGAGAAGATGAGTGGAAGGATGACCCCATCAATCTTGATGATCTCGGGATTAGAACCCATCATATCTAAGGATTTTTGAAATCGCACCCAAACTCGATGGTTACTAGATCTAGATATTATAGTCAAGAAATAAAACGAAAGAAAATTTAAAGAAATTAAAAAATATATAATTATACACAGCAAAGTTTTCTTCCGATTCAGAGCTGAAAAGTAAAAATTTTTAGATTCGAGTTAGACTTGATGGGTTCAATTGAATATATAGCTTTAAAAAAAAATTTTTTTTTAATGATGGAGATATTCAATGATTTGTAAGATCGTAATAATTAGTAAACAGTTTGATTTTTGTTCGATAGACATGAGCCGAGCGTTCGGTTAAAATATTTATTTGAGCTGTTATTAATCGTCATTAATTATTTGTTACACACATCGAAAAATACAAAGAACATTTATTTTCTAATATCGTACTGGCTTAGCTTTTACACATTAAGTTCAACAATATAAAATTACATTTTTTGTATTGAAAACATCTATTTGGTTCTAAATATTGGACATGAGTCAATAAATGAATAAATGTATATAATTATAAAATTGATCATCTGCTATTTTTAAATCTTGTATGTTTCATAGCAGGAAATATCGATAAATAATATTCAAATCAATAGACAAAAAAAAAGACATAGAAATCTCAAATTTAATAAATGCTTTTCAATCATATAAAGTGAAAACTAAACTATGCAAATATTTACAAAATAATACAATACATTATTAAAACTAACTAATTATCTTATGTCTATAAAATCTAAAACGTGAATACAACAACGACAAACATTAGTTACCTATATAATTCAAAGCGGAAAAAAGCCGTCGATATACCGGCAATAGTTTGACACTTAAGTAGTCGATTATTCTCCCAATTGACAGTTTAGTTCCGGTATATCGATGGTATTGCGAACGAACGTGTAACATGAATAGACTATGATTAGAAATGTGCAGGACTAAGTCTTTTTTGTTCTTGTCTCAGTTTCACACATCGCTATCTATGATTCATACAATCAATATAATAGAACAATCAAAAAAATTGACATATAAATTACTTATTGGGCTATATTACTAAATATAAAAGAAAAATACATTGAACACTTTATTCATTATAATTTTTTGTTTGTTAGTTTCATTTTATTTTTGAAATCATAATACAATAGATGTCTGTTTAGATATTTTTATTATTACACAGAACAAAGAAAATACATCAACAAGGAACACTAATCTGTGTGTAGATAGAATACATTAGATTATGAATATTTTATCTTGAATATCTTGTTTGCGAATTGAGTTTATTACGTTAATTAATATAAAAAATTAAAAAAGTAAATTTTCATGTATCATCGAAAACTAAGTAAAATATCATATAGTAAATTAGAAAATATGATCTATTATGTTTATTAATCGAACTGAAGTCATATAATCTTTCTTATTCAATGATCAAACTGTTCATTGCGATCTATCTTTTTCTTTGCTTCATCGCTATTATCATGTAACTGTGACCAAAAAATCAATTGATTGTGAATGCACAATTCTATTCTAGATTTGGATCATCTATATCAATTAATATGACATTCAAAAGATCTTGACAAACTGAAAAAGTATCGTAGGATATCGCGATAGATGTCTGGAAGGATTCATACTTCTTGAACTTTTCAATAAAAAAATGTTATCACTCATCTTGAATATATTTGGAGGATAGTACCTATCTTTAAGTTTCATAATAAAAGCCACATCAATATTTTCACTGATTTCGCTTACATCGATTGCTGAGACGAACAACAAGACATATTGCTTTTGAGTATATACCTCGCAGAATACTTGTCAGCAATGGCTGAGTGTGTATTAGCAATAGTGTCAAGTACGTGATTCACAGGTAAGCTCATTGGTGATACAATTAACAAGAGATTTTTTTTCGAATGAATACAATAATAATTCAATGACGTTTTTAATTTAAAACTCATTATTCTAATAAACTCAATATTGATCACCATTACGATAAGATCCAACTATTTCGTTAACTTTTTATTCTCTTGAATGACTACTAAAAATTATCTATGAAACGCTTCATATGTATTTTGTTTTCACTTGACGTTAGTATTTGTTTACGTTATCCATATGACAAAAAAAGCTTTAAATAAGCTTCTACCGCTAATAAAAAAAAATCAGACCATTTATTTGAATCGAAGCAAAAATATTTCATTTATTTTTCGTAGTGCTTTTTATGGTACAACCTGTATTGGTTACATTATAGTTGATGCTCTCTCTTTCTCTCATGAAAAGTATTCCATATGAAGATATTTGATACTGCAATGGCAGAACATCTACTATAGGTGTATTACCCTGAGTCAACATCATTTCCAAAGGTGTTCCGAGACCACCAGAATTAGGTGAGGATCGATGATTCAAGTGGCCAATCAGTAAATTTTTTCTCATGTTTACCGACTTTGGGTGAGAGCAGATGGCACCTATTTTTGAGAATTCGGTAAGCAAAAAAAAAATCAATAAAACATTGAGACCTCAATGAAGACAATATTTGAAAAGGTCAACACCACTGATTGAAACTTTCTGTATTCATTTCAATGGCAATATTCGAGCTTTTTTTTTTTAAATTCCTCTAATCAATCGTATCCATGTTAAAAAATATACACACAGATAATGTTTTATTTTAATTATGCTCTTTAATTAAATTATCAAAACAAATAATGATTTCTGATTGATGCATTGGAATTCAATTCAAAGTTTATGTTAATGTTTTAGCATATTATCTATTTATACAGAATTAGATATCATTCAGTATAATTATTTCTTTCTGATTTTATTAAAAAAAAATTTCCAAAGAATATTTTTTCTTATTCATCTTAATACCAAATGCATAAATGCATTGATTTTTATCTTCTTGCTATTCCTCCTCTCTCAATACTCAAAATCCATAGAATACCATATACCATTGTTATTATTGTTATTAACTATTCCAATATCTTCTGTCTTCTCTCTCCGTATTCATTTTCATATCGAATTCATTTAAAAGATAGACAAAAAAGAAATTAATCTAAAAAAAGCGCACAAGCAACATGAGTTCACCTCCAGTTTCAGCCAGTGGTGGTGGTTCTCGTCGAGCACGTTATTCACGTTCACCATCAAGTGGTGGTGTACCACCATCAAAACGTTCGAAGCCATCAAGTTCAGTTGATGCTGGAAATAATTCCGAACATCATCGACTTTACACATCTATTTGTGTAAAAAATATCAATCCAAAAATTCCTGATCTTGGTAAATAAATAAGATAATAAAGGAAATTTTATAATTTCTTTTTTGCTTTGTTTTTTCTTGTAGAGGTTCGTGAATTGTGTAATAAAAAATTTTCTAAATATGGTTCAAATTCAGTTAAAATTTATTATAAAAATCAAGAGCGTGTTGCTTTTGTTAATTTTACTAATTGTGAAGATGCTAGAAAAGCACGTCATGCTAAAACAGGTCTCGTTTGGGAAAATATTCAAGTTGTTCTAGAACCGTATGTTATCCAAAAAAAAAAAAAAAATCTTCTCTTTCATATTGTTAATCTTTTTTTGTCAATTTTAGTGTTTATTATCGTCGTACTATTCCAGCTGAACAACCACTTAATCCTGGTAGTCCACGTGAACGTACACCACCATCACCGAAACGTCGTCCACGTCGTCCATCACCAAGTCCACCACCTGTTAGTTCTCGTAGTCGACATCATCATACATCTTCACCACCACGTTCACGTCGACATTATTCACCATATATACCATTACCACCAGATTTAGCTGATTATGCTGCAACAAAAGCCAGTCGACAACGACAAGGTTCATCACCATCACCACCTCGTGATCATCATCGACGACGTACTCATAGTCGAACAATGTCAACATCACCCGTAGCATATAAAAGTCGAGGAAAACATGAAGATTATGCACCAAATCGTGCTGAATCAAATGTTCAACATGAACCAACACGTACATTATTTGTTGGAAATCTTGAACGAGATATAAGAGAATCAAAATTAAAAGAAGTTTTTGGCCGATATGGAACAATTGAAGAAAGTAAGAGAATTACTTTAACATAGCTTTCAAAATTTTGAAGTGTAGGCAGAATTTACTACTGCTGTTAGTGTAATCTTTGTACTTATCCAAAAATGCAATAAGGAACTAGCTTAAGAAGACAAATTTACAGCCCGTAATCGAATATCAATAACATTTTTTTCATGTTTCTACGGCTATGTCCATGATGAAGGACAGACGTTACTGCTGATGTCTGTCATAGCTAGACCCCTAAAGAATCAAAATTTCTACTCTGACTCTGTCGGAGCTCAGCAAGTTTTTCTCCAAAAGTAATAGCTAGCAAAAACCTGAAAAATAACGTTTGCATCTGAAAGAATTCTCTATCAGGATTAGTAAGCTTAAAGACTTGAACGAAACTGCCTGGGTGAAGATGTGTCGAAGAGTAAGATCTCCAAACTAGCTTTTCAGCTTCTATTTGAATCTGTTTTTTGGAAAAGATTCTATTCGATAGAGTAAGATGAGACGTCTCTGTTTCGTCCATAATTTACAGAAGGTGTCAAAGCAGCAAACACGAGAAAAAAATGTTTGCTAACTCCTCTCTAAATTGAATATAGTTCCATGAACAAAAGACTGAAGATGTTTCATTTTTCTCTATCAAATAAATTTTTTTTTCTGGAAGTTTTCGGACATATGACTTCTAAAAGAGAATACTTTCAACTACACAAATATTGTTTCAGATTATAGCTACCTATGACCATTTAGAAAATACAACTGCTGTAAACCTATCCCGGCCACTATACTTGCGCTAAATTTTAATGAGAATATCTCTACGAGACTTTTTTTTTTGTTCATTACTTAATATATGAAGGATAAAAATACTTGACTGTTGACATTGATTCCAAAAAACTATTCTTCACGATTAGTCCGAGTTGGATGCTGAGCTCCAATCATGAATGTAATGTGTCGTCGCTAAGATATTTGTGATGAGTTGTGTCTATGGAGGAAGTGGAAATGCAAATTTCTATCGCATATACTTTAACAGTTCTTTAAGATTGTTTCAAAAAACTCATTGTTTACATTTTTTATTTGTTTATTTAGTTGATCTTAAAGTTCCACAATCATCATCCAAACGTGCTTACGCTTTTATACAATATGAAAATATGGATATGGCTTATGAAGCAAGACGTGCAATGGATGGACATTTTATTGGAAAAGCTGATTGTAAAATTGGATATGGTACGTACAATGAAAAAAAAAAAAATTTTTCTTTTTCTATCTGATTTCTTTGTGAGGTTGCTTGCTTATTGTGGCTATGTCTATGTATGGAGTATTTATGCTTGATTATGCATTCTTTTCTTTTCTTTTCTTAAATCTCTTATCTGTTTTGACGTTAATTGATCTTCTTATTTTAGAAATTTCGATGTAAAATTTACATTAATTGTGTTATATACACACAATTTTATTTGGCGTATTATAGCCGTGATGCATTTGCGTTTGAGAGGTCCTTATATTAAAAAAACAGAACAGAACAGAATTGATTTAGGAAAATAATACAATAATATAGAATATACATATATACATATATAATTTTTATTTGATTATAAATGATGATATAATTTTAAAGTGATATATTTGACAAAAACAAAATGTAATAGAGATGCAATTTTGGTCAAAATGTTTTTATTAATATTTAATTTGATAATGGTGATACATATATATATAATGTCATTCATTGATTTAAAATGTATGCATATAATAAATCCAAGTTGGATATTTCCCTTTTTTCTTCCTGCATCTCTTCCTTTTTTAATTCTTGCGCTGATCTTTCTTCCTATATTTTGGTCATCATGCTTTTGATAATATAAGAAGTCTAATGATAAACAATTAATTAATTGGTAAAATAATTTTGGCTGATATTCTCTTACTATGCGTTCTTAATATAGATGATAGAAAATATTTTCTTCTTTTCATTTAACAATACATATAAATATATATTAAAATGATATATCTATTTCATTGATTACAATGATAGAGAGTTTGCAAAAATTCTTTTTTTATTTTCTCTTTATTTTACATATGCATATATGTATATATATATATATATATATAATGGTCCATGTGAAATATGAATTTATATATCAATATGTATTATATATATATATTTCAGGCAAAATCGTACCAACCAATTGTCTTTGGGTAGGCAATATACCAATAGATATGAAACGACGTGATCTTGAACAAGCATTTTCACGTTATGGAAAAATAAAATCATTTGATTTTGCAAATGGTGATCCAATAGCTATTGTTTCATATAATGAAATTGAAGATGCAATTAAAGCACGTGCAAAAATGACTGGTGTAACACAAATAGTTGAAGGTCGAAAAATACGAACTGAATCGGGACAATCAGATTCATCAAGACGTGGTAAGAAAAAGAATGTTTTTTTTCCAACAGTTTTTTTAAATTAATGAAAAAAAATTTTTTTTTGTTTTTTGCTTTAGCCGGTCTTCGTATTGATTATCTTGATCGACCAACAGCTCGACGTTTTGTTATTGTTCGACCACAAGATAATACATCTAAACGTCGTACATCCCGATCATCATCAGCATCATCAGCATCATCAACGCGTACACGATCATCAAAAGATCGTGTACGTTCTGTATCAAATGATGATCAACGAGAAAATGGTACAAATAAAAATTTTAAACGACAATCACATTCACGTTCACCATCAACACCATCACGAAATAAACGACAAAGTCTTAGTCCACCAGCAGTTGAACATCATTTTTATGGTCCATTTGGATCATATCTATCATCGGATGATACAACTAATATAAATAATATTAATGATTTAATGACACTTTGTGATAAATTTAATTCAAACAAAACAAATACAAATTTAACAACTGTTTATTCTGTTCAATTTATACTTAAATCACATGCATATGATGCACGTATGCATTTTCTTGCTGGCAATCCAAATCTTGTCAATGCTATTCTAGGTAACACAATATCGAATTAGAATTAATTTTTTGTGAAACACGATCAAAAAGGAGTATTGAAGTATAAGCTTAAAATTTGGATTTTCTACAGTTTGTCACAGATACTAGATAGGAACTATCACAGACACTAGCTAAGGGGCACGATAGACGTTATTGGTGCATGATCAAAGACTGTGTATTAATAAAGTCTCGTTTTAATACATAAAATATATTGTAATCTCACAGGAATTGTGTCAACAACTTTTTAATCATTGTTTTGTTAATTTTTTCTAGGTCAATCAGGTGATTATGCAGATAAAAAAACTGAATTAAAAGTAACACAACGTCTTCGTCTTGATCAACATAAACTTGAAGATCTTGAAAAAAAACTTCGTACTGGTGTTACAAATGTATTATCAAATACAAATATTAATGGTCAATCAACATCACCTAATGATCGTAAACAAACAAATCCTGCTAATCAAACAAAATTTGCTATTATGATTACGTCACCAAGACCACGTAGTCCAAATGAAAATTCAAATGCATCAGCACAACGTAAACCAAATGGACGAACAAATTCACCTAATCATCCATCATCGTCGGACGAAAATGATGATCGTGCACAAATAAAAAGAAATACTGATGATGATGATGAATCATCACTTTCTCGCTTAATTTCTTATCTTGCCGTGTAAGTATAATTATCTACTTTATCATTTCTTCGGAGAAAACATTGAGAAAAAAAAATAATATTTTCTGGGAGAAGTGCAAAATGCAGCTAACTGTGAAATTGAATCATACTTTAGTGTTGACGTTTTTGTTTTCTATATGTTCAAATATTTTAAACAAGAACCAAAGAGGAGCCATCTATCTATCAAATTAAAACATTGAAGTTTACTCGAACGAACTACAACAAGAAAGGCACGCGAACTTTTTTTTTCCCTATGTGTCCTGAAGAATTTGCTGACATGAACATCATATATGATTTTATTTTGTGCCAATTATAGATTCATCTTGAGTCTTATCAAGTTGCCAATCTAGTTATATGTTGATCTATGATAGAAGGAGGATCAATGCAATTGCGCTCCTAATTTTTCGATGGATTTAGATATTAGCTTTTTCACTGGAGAACTCTAGAAATTCATCATGAATTCTGGAGAAATATTTTAAAACTAGATACCTTCGGAATTATGTTTATCTCAAAATGTATCTTTTTTTTATAGAAAAATCGCTTTTTCTTGGAGGGTAACCATAGCTAAACGAGTTTTGTTGATAAATGTATACTTTTCGACATAGCTCAGACGTCTTGAAAGTAGAAAATTGATTTGTTATGTGAAGTATCCGATGATCCCAATTTTCGTCATGAGACATGTACTGAACCCCAACTATGGTTCGATATTCGAGAACTATTCAATCAGTTGAGAGTGTCGAGTTTTTAGATCATTTGTTTTATTGTGTGTAGATGTACCATAGGCAGCCGTAAAATCCTGTCTATTGGTTTATTTCTACTCTATTTTATTAATAAATTGAAAATAATCATACTCAAAACCAAATCCGAAGGACTTCAGGTTCAATGCATGTCGTATTGAACCATGTTGTCAATATTTTCTCATATATCTCTAAAATACAAAACTTAGATATTCTTGAATCTTATACTTGAATTAAACATAAATTTTAATAAACAATGGCATTAATGTATTAGAATTTTGATGTGAATATTTTAGAAAAAAAAAAAGTTTAAGTCAATTTTTTTGTTATTCAATAATTTAATTTATTTTTAGGAAAGAAGCAGCTGGTGTCATATCAATGCCATTTCATCCAAGTTCAAGCAATGATTATGATAATACGAATGATCAAGAAACAGCTGTATTACATATATTTCCTCCATGTCAATTTAGTAAAAAAGTTTTAAAAGTTATATGTCCATCAATTAGTTTTTCAAATGGTCCACGTACACCACCATCACGTCCAACAACAATGATTAATGATGAACATCTAATGGTTGTTATCGTACAAAATGATTAAGTATTTGTTAAGAACAGTAGATAACAGAAAGAGAAAAGAATTCTAAAAAAAAATTATTGTACTATCGTAATAAAGAGATAAAAAAAAAAGAATAGAAAACTGTTGATTTTTCTTTTCTGAACAAAACCTATAAACATCTTCGTTTTTTCTTTTTCTTTTTGTATATGTTCGATTATTTTCTTCATTTCCCAACACACTGAGAATAACGAAATTAAAAATGATTTATCATTAATCAGTTTCTTTATTTCTTATTCTTAACAACCAAAACAAAAAAGAAAACTTATTAGGCTTTGTACATTTTGTTTGTTTTGTTTTTGTTTTTTTTTTGTTGGTTTACGTGACTTGTTCTTCTTGCTCTAGTTTGTATGCGGTTAAAAAACACAAATTGATGTTGTTTGTATTTGTTTTGCGTGCACACCAGTGTGTTGTATTGTATTGTGTTCTTGATGATGCTCTTTGTTTTTTCTTTTACTTAAACATGAAAAAAATTTCAATCTATAAAAAATACTTTTTTTTACTTGTTTCTTATTTAGACGATGATATTAACTGATTTTGGAAACATTCAATAATGTTTGAATATGATTTTAAAAGAATATCTTCATGATGATTTATCTTAAAAATTGAAATCTTAGGACTTTAAATTTCTTTTATCTCAAGTCCGTTATAACATAGGGCTGTCAATTAACATGCTAAAGTTATTCAAAAATATACTATCGAATAGAGCTTTGCAGGATATTGAAGATTAAGGTAAGAGGAATGTGAAGTAGGGCCTCGAGTTACATCATGTTCAACTCTATCATGTAGCGTAGAATAAAACTCGGATGAGATAAATGTAGAATAGGGTCTATGTTTCATCCAAATTTTATCTTTCGAAGTGCAAACATCTATCATTGGGAGTACAGACATATAGTATATGTCATAAGCTTCGGAGGAATGTTGTTTCCTAGACTCCTACGTTGGATAAACTACTGCATAGAGTAGAGTAAAGGTTGCCCAATCTCCGGAATTCAGGAATTATGTTTAGGATTGTCTTACCTTGAATTTTAGACATATTTTGAATCATCTCTAAAATTAAGTTTATTAAATTCGAAAAAAAAATTCAATGTATATTCATTGAAAGTTTTCGTTACAAAGATGATCTTAGTTAAGCATCAAATTTATTAGAGAAAAATCTTTATCACAACTTTCTAAATTTATCGAATCGATCTCACTGAATTTACAATTCAAAATTGACAAATATTTCATCATCATATAACACAATGATCAAACACTACTCTTCAAAATTCAAAATAAAAGAAGAAGGGTTCTCGAATTCGACATATTCTTTATTACTGAAAGAGTATAATAATGATTAAAAGAAAGCAATGTGTTCTTGTCCTAGTGTACTATTCTTCATTCATGAATCACAATTTTGTTGATCGAAAATTATCTTTTTAAAAATTTAGATCTGTTGAAACTAACAAGAGATCCTCTTCAGGTGTCAAATCACTTTTCGATTAAGACAATGTTAATTTCGTGAGTAATAAAAAACTTGAAAGTCGAATTTTCACGTTACATGAGGATGGTCACCACTTTATTTTGTTGATATAGTTGAAAATAATCGACTTTTTACTGTAAAATGCCAGCATTCGAAAAAACAACAAGTTTTATTGATTATTCAAATAAACATGGCTTCTTTAACAAGTAATGATGAAAGATATTGGAACTTTATTAAATAAATATTTCAACAATATTAAGACAGAGTAAAAATAATAGAGAGGTCACAAATAGAAATTCATCAAAAAAAAAAACAACTTAATTGATATGTTAAACAAGAGAGAAGAACATTAAGATAAGTACTGCTGCTTGAAGAGTTTCAGATTATTTAAAGATGAATTAATTCATATTTCTACCTGGAAACATACCTCGTCATACTTCAAAAGAATTCATATAATTTCTAAAACATTTAGAATCTAGATTAAAGTCATAAGGTTACATTAAAACGTTGATAAATAATATGAGAATTTTATTTGGCATTAATCATGAGTTTTATTATTCTATTGAGACTGATAATTCATTTTTTACTAAATTTTTCAAATATTAAATTCTGTAAAGAAAATTTCATTCACATCTGACGACTATGAAAGAAGATGCCAAACTTTTGGAAATTGTTATTCAATCATATATAGAAATATGAATTGAAGAATTTGTACAAGATAATTTACATAACTTTTTCCTTACAGAGGTTCTTTTAGAACAATAATTATCCAACTTGTTGAAGAAAAATAATATAAAACTCTTGACATCAATAATCAATTTATTGAAAAATGACTCTTCAAAGATTGAAATCGCGTTTATAAATTAATTAAATATTCCTGGATAATCTTTTGAAGATTTTTTTCTTCCCTGAGATTCTAAAAATACTACATCTTCAGTAATTATCCAAGTTATTTTTGGAACGACCCATACAATTTTAGAAAAAGCAAAACGATTAAAGGGTCTCAACAGGACACACAAAAAAACAGATGACGTCATAACATGTAATTAATGAATAATGAAATAATAATTATTTTTTCTGATGAAACAACAAAACAATATTTTCATGATTGATTGTTCTATGAATAATTCACTATGATTTAATGAAAATTTTGAAGAGATATTTATGTGTCATCTAATCAAATTTCATTTCATATCAATTAATGTTAATATTTTATTATTCAACAACTTTTGTATATAACAATTATGAAAAATTGAAATTTTATTTGTTTTATATCAACATGATACTACCAAATATCCTTTCAATCTTGCAACATTTTTTCGTTCTTCATTGAAGAAAGAAGATTATAAATGTAGATTTTCTAGGTAGTAGAACAAAATTGTAGAATAAGACCATGGAGAAAACTATTGATAAATCATATTTCATAGTAGTTTTTTCGTATTTTATGTTTTATTTATTACCTATCGTAGACGCATCACGATAGTTTCGATGCTGTTTGACACGCGACCTATTTCCTAAAAAAAAATGATGTTTCTATAGCATGTACTTGAGTTCTAAAACACTTTGATCACTAGTAATGAATTTGTTTGTGATGTTTTTATGTCTGTCGTTTAACATTTACTACGAATTTGTTTAATTGTCGATATCCCTTAAGAGATACTTTTTGTACGGTATATTATGCATACATATTATTATTCGATGGAAGAGCTGGATTATACTTAAAGAAAAATAATTCGAATATTTTAATATAATATGAATAGTGAATAATTGTATGTGTATTAAAAAAATAATCTTTTTTTTTTCGAATATTAGAATATATCTGATGAAATATAATAGAACCTGTCAGATAAGTCCAATATTCGGGATCAACTTAAAGAGTTATATTCTAAAAATAGCATGTAATTATGACTTGATTATTATAAGTTCATCATCAACACTGTCTAAGCAAAGTATGTGATGTGTTAGTAGCAGACTACAAATAATCGATAAAGAGTATTTCGCATGTTCGGAGCGATTTGAAGGCTCAAATTGAAAATAGGTATACAGTTCGGATCCGATAATTTTGAAACACACGAGTTCTAATATGTAATGTTTTTATCAAATATTTCGAGAAATCAACGTTGGTTGAAATATTACGTATTTCAATAGTTTGGCTCTGTGATCGCTTCCAACATAGATTTATAAACATTTTCTATATGAATTAGAAGAAGAAATATTCAGTTGACCTCAATTAAACTGATGAATTTATACGTTAAATAGTATGTTTTCTTTTCGAGTTAGACAACAAACTAGATTATTACTCTTTTATTTTTTATTTTTGGATTGAATAATGATCAATAGAGTTAGCATTAATTCTATGCACCTTATGATATTTATGTATTCTTCAAAATTATTTAGATATTTGTTCGAATGTCTCTATTATGAAAAATAGAATAAGAAATACTATTAGTTGTTTCAATGATAAAGTTCAATTTAATCATTATTTCATAAGTTCGAATAAATTGAACTGACAATTGTTATTAGCAATAATTTTTTTAGGCTAACATGAACATTTCGGTAGGCCGAAACGGCTGTCAAATAACTCGATGTCTGATGTCAAGAGTAAAAGTCGGTGACTATTTCTCTTCATTTTTCATTATATATTGTCTTATTTACACTATTTTGTTGCCTGATACTTAATCCTTCTACTCCGATTAGGCTTTCTCCCACGCTGCATATGCCTTCTATCATTATGAAACATACTTCATAAATAGGATTTCAACATAGAGATTACCGTCCACATTTTAATTATATTCATAGTACACGTGTAAGAAAAAACAGTGCACACAAAGGCAAGACTTATTTGTCATAGAATACAATCATAATTTTTTGGAACAACTTAGCCCTGTAACACAATTATATAAAACAAAAGAAATATATCTTTGTGCATCAGAGAATTATTACAGACACTTCCAGACACTGTAGAGTTGTTAATTCGATTAGGATCGTGACAGCTGAAGATCGGAACTTGAATAAATTTTGTTTTGAGTACTTAGAATACTATAAATGATTTTTTTTTATCAATAGTAGTTATCTATGAAGTACAGTCATGAAGCAAAAACTATGCAAAAGAAAGGTACTTTTCCTCATAATCTGATTATTCAAGTGGACAAGAGTATCCGAAAATGTGTTTAAATGTTCTAATCGTCGTTCTCATTTGAATGTTTTCAAGTACAGTCAAAAAACACCATAATCACCTACTTGCGTAATAAAAAAGTACATCATGATGCTTTATAAGGACAATTTTTCCATCTGAAAAACGCGCAAAAAAATTTTTTTTAATAATATTTTGGCGTGTTTTGCAGACAAAAAATGACGTTTTATGCGGCATATATGTCAAAAATATTGTGATCAACACTTTTTTTCCATATCTTCCAGATGCGAAAGTTTCTCTTATAATAGTCTCTTTATGCACTTTCATAATGAAAGTAGTTATGATTAGCTGGAAAAAAGTTAACCGCAATTTTTTCTTAACAAAAAAATG